ACCGCTTTAGTCCGATACTTTGCGTCCTTTTAAAGGCTTTTTGGAGGGCTTCTTCCATCCGCTTTAAAATCTCCACAAATTGTCATATGATGTGTTAGGTGGTTAAATTGTGCATATTATCACTTTAGAAGAAGTACTGATTGTAAAATATTTTTAAAACTCTGCGATATCTGGTGATAAATAGTTTTGGCCAGCTTTTCAGGTCCAATACCACATTGTGCGCCGGTCTTGCGGATGAAACTGCCATTTAAGGCAGCTATAACAAACAATACGTTCAAAATTAAGTTTCTTGGGTCAAGAAGTTCGAATAGGAGATCAGATGTTTACTCCTACAAAAAATTAAGCCTCCGAATCGACAATCGCTGCCGACATTGTTGCCAGTTAAAGGCGCAGACCGGTAAATGACTGATATTAAGAGATTTGCCGAAGGAGGGGTTTCGATAAGGGCCGTTGTTGGGCCCATACCCTGAAATTCTTCAATTTCACGATTGTTTGCTCATTTAAAGTCTAAAGTTTGCGGAATGTATCATGATTTGGTCATTTCCGGTCTATTTAGGGGTCTAATACCGGCCTAAACATGAGACTAAAGGCCGATTTTGGCGAAAAATGCGGGTTTTTTTACATTCGACGTGACGCTGTTTCTTAACGATCCCATCATCGGAGGAGATTGTTGTCCTTCAAGTACGTTCATTAAGGATGTAAGATAGTCACTTTGCCCAATTTTCGTTGATGGCAAACCTTGCGCTCAGAGTTAAAACGATCTTCTTAGAATTTTCTTGTTTTTCATCATTATTTAAAATGGCATAAAAAGGGCGACTCATCTTAAACCAGAAATAGATTCATTGGTGGAAAATGTACGCAGCTGGTCATAACTGTCCTCCAAAAAATTAATGGATTAAAGCCCCCCCCCCCCCAAAAAAAAGGAAAACCTGTGTTGCCATATTTTATTGCCTAACATCACAGAAAACCGCGTGATTATTTCAGTATTTGGAGGCTGTTCTTCGTAGAGCACATTTAGCAAAGCTCAAAACCCTTGATTTTTCATACGTTACGATTATTGATTATATAAATGCAATTATCCATCATTATTTTGTTTATTACATGTATGTATCTATAGAGACTCTTATCGTGGCGCGGCATTCCTACATATCATCGGTAAAAATCGAGAAAAATGCAACATTGAAACGGAAATGAGAATTCTACTATCATCGCGCTGAGAATGTTAGCCTTATCCAAAACTAAAAATTCATTGCAATAAAATGTGTAATATTGGTTAAAAGGCAAAACGACATAGAACATGTTCTTATCCGGGTGGTATTACCTGTGCAAAGTGGGCGATAGAGTCGTCAACTGCTGAGCTCATATTGCATCTTTCATTTGGTGCCTCACTCATTACAGACATAAGTCTGAGCCAGAAAAACTAAGCGTTTGCTAGATTAACATGCATGCGTCATTTCTCTAAAATTATGACATGGCAGCTCCAAACAAGAGGTTTGATGCAGGAGACAGGGAACCTGATGAAGAAGCAACTGATGAGGAAGCTGTTAGGTGGCTGGGCAGAAGTGAGGGAAACCAGGGTTTCAAATTATTTTTAGGAAGCAGAATTCTGATCGATCGCAGGCAATAAGAATGGCGGGGGGCAGGGATTGTCAGGGTGGTGAAAAATCAGCATTAAGCACTCGTGATTCTGACACATGGCTTACTTTTTTTTCGGATCTCAGATCACGGTCAATGATTCAAAGTTGCACCTTCGTTTGTAAATATCGTGTACAAAATTCGTAAGATAATAGGCCACCTACAAGCCCAAAATTTTAAAGCAATTATCACTAACACAAAATATAATCTACTTGCATCTCTGAATACTGTAATTCGAGTCTTACATATTTATTTCAAAATGCGCATATTCCGAGAAAGTGGCTGAAATCCTCGGCCAACTAGGATTTTTCTCGATTTTTACCGATGATATGTGCGAATGCCGCGCCACGATGAGAACCTCTACAGATACTTACATGTAATAAACAAAATAATGATGGATAATGGAGATTTCGCATATGTGAGGAATTTGCGATTTGACTGTTGATTCTTACGTAAAAGTTCGGGAGAAACACGATGGTGCCACTGGTTTTCTCTGAAATCAACTCCCAAGCTCAAAAAAAGGTCTCAAGTTGAGCCCGAAATGGAGGGGATATCCCACACTATCCTGAGAGTCCACCCCTAAATCAAGACACACTCTCTATGCAAAGATAAGGAGCAAGTACATTCACAGGGCTACCACTTTATTTGGGGACTCCACAACAGAAAACACAGCAACCTTGCTAATGTATTTGCTCCCTATCTTTGCATGGAGAGTTTGTCTTGATGTACAGGTGGACTCTCAGGATAGCGCGGGATATCCCCTCCATTTTGGTCTCAACTTAAGAGCTTTTTTTGAGCTTGGAAGTTGATTTCAGAGAAAGCCATTGGCACCATCGAGTTTCTCGCGAACTTCTACATAAGAATCCATAGTCAAATTGCAAATTCCTCACACATGCAACATCTCCATTGCATTTATATAATCACTAATCATGCGATCGTAACGTATGAAAAATCAAGGGTTTTGAGCTTTGCTAAATGTGCTCTACGAAGAACAGCCTCCAAATACTGAAATAATCACGCGGTTTTCTGTGATGTTAGGCAATAAAATATGGCAACACAGGTTTTCCTTTTTTTTGGGGGGGGGGAGGCTTTAATCCATTAATTTTTTGGAGGACAGTTATGACCAGCTGCGTACATTTTCCACCAATGAATCTATTTCTGGTTTAAGATGAGTCGCCCTTTTTATGCCATTTTAAATAATGATGAAAAACAAGAAAATTCTAAGAAGATCGTTTTAACTCTGAGCGCAAGGTTTGCCATCAACGAAAATTGGGCAAAGTGACTATCTTACATCCTTAATGAACGTACTTGAAGGACAACAATCTCCTCCGATGATGGGATCGTTAAGAAACAGCGTCACGTCGAATGTAAAAAAACCCGCATTTTTCGCCAAAATCGGCCTTTAGTCTCATGTTTAGGCCGGTATTAGACCCCTAAATAGACCGGAAATGACCAAATCATGATACATTCCGCAAACTTTAGACTTTAAATGAGCAAACAATCGTGAAATTGAAGAATTTCAGGGTATGGGCCCAACAACGGCCCTTATCGAAACCCCTCCTTCGGCAAATCTCTTAATATCAGTCATTTACCGGTCTGCGCCTTTAACTGGCAACAATGTCGGCAGCGATTTTCGATTCGGAGGCTTAATTTTTTGTAGGAGTAAACATCTGATCTCCTATTCGAACTTCTTGACCCAAGAAACTTAATTTTGAACGTATTGTTTGTTATAGCTGCCTTAAATGGCAGTTTCATCCGCAAGACCGGCGGCCATTTTGGGCGCCATCTTTGATTTTAGGGCTTCTTGAGAGCCGCAGCGGAAAATGGACCTCATTTTCGGACTCTACAACCCTGAAAACCTAATAATTGATACCTCACAATGCATGTAGACCCGAGTAGGCAAATTAGTACCCGTACGAGGTATTTTTGGACGCTATCTTGGATTTTGGCCTAAAAATGACCTTTAGGCTAACTTTTGACTGAAAATTCGGATTCTACGATCAAAAATACATAAGAAACGACACCCGACACGACGTATTTGCAAACTTTAAATTTGTTTACCCCAAAACCGCCATTTTGGCCGCCATCTTGAATTTGGGGGGGGGGTTTGTATGAAATTTGAGATAGCCATCATCGATTTTCTTTTTCTAGACATCAAAACGAAGAGATTGATGTATCACACAATATGCCTTCACGAATCTGCACACGGGGTTACGTATGCCCCCTGACTAAACGACTGCAGATGGCTGATTACTTGCGGGCGGTAGTGCCTAACACAGCAGACTTCTGGGCTAATACTAGCGAATGCTTTCCAGGGATTTCGTACTTCAATTCAGTGCAGTCTTTGGAAACTGCTCCGGTGGCTCCGATCACACAGCAGAATGACTCTGGTTTTGGTCTTTCACATTCTACTGATTTCGATTTTTAGATGTTTATACTTTAGTTTCTTCTCAGCTTCCTTTTTCGCAATGTTCCTGTCTGCTGAAATAGAAACGTCAATCAGCAGACAGGTTTGCCCCTTCCTACGTAGAATGATGTCCAGTCTGTTTGCCTCAACAGCTCTATCGGTTCTAATAGGGAAGTTCCACAGGATCGTTATCCTTCGTACCAGGATTATTATTATTATGATTTGACAAGATGTATGTAGAAGTTTTTAACATCATTTCACTTTTGTCCATCCCTGTTTCAGTATTTTTCCTCTCCCATTTTAAAAAAAGAACGAGGCGTAGGGTTTTGCCGCCTCTTAGGTGGATGCCTCACGCAAATGAGCGTTTTTTGCGTCTATAGTCTTGCAACGGGCGTGACGGCGAATAATGAGGCGTTGGAGGTAACAGATGAAAACTTCATTTAGGTACTTCTCCCTAAGACTAAAAGAATACCTCGATACAATTATTGCATTTAATTTCGCGTAATCAATTTTTCACGAATGTTATTATTCATATATTAAAGAAAATGTTGTGTTATTGGGTAGGCGGTGCTATGGATTAAAATGAAGTTTTTAACTCACAGTAAAGTTAATGTATTTATTTAGGTTGTCAAATTTGACCTTGGCCATCGTCAAGACTTCACAGCGAAAAACGATTAAACGCTACACATAACTTACTCTGAGTAATATTAGTACAAACGTAGCTTGCCAAACAGTCATGTAAGTTTAGTCTTGAATCGTTTTTCTCAGCTAAGTCCTGACAACGACCAATTCCAAAAAGCTTTGACAATCTGAATAAATACATTTATTTTAACGTGAGTTGGAAACTGCATTTTAAAATCATACTGGCTAAACAATAAGACAACAATATACATAAAGTGTTACTGCCATGATGTTGTACATTCACACTTCCAAACATAAATGTAATGAGTGTACTCACGCTATTAGATGTGTCGATTTCGATTCCCGAGTCAAGAAGCTCTATGATTTTGTCCAATTGCCCAGCACGCGCTGCCCTCAAAAAAGCTGTATTAGGATCCGTCTGAAAAAATAACGAAAAAGGTTGGGTTCTAAAATTATGAATGAACAAAGGAGGAAAGAGATCACGAAAACATTCATCCAGGCGCTTAAACATCAAACCAACTATCATGGGTCTGTCTATAACAACCTCTGTTCCTCGTAAATTGATTGCAACCAACTCTTCGTCGAAAATTGTGCGATCGATGAAATCGACCTGTGAGATGGCTTTCCATAGCTGTCTGCTGTTTGTACTCAACTGAATATTCTTTCGCTTCAACGGGTTCTCGATAAATTTTCGGTAGCAAGCGTTGCTGCATAGTTTCAGGAGCGTTTGGTGGAACGGATTGATAGCCTCCCGTCTCAACCGGGCGTTCAGCTCGATGAACGGTGCTTAGAAAGGAGCCTGGCGGATTTTGATGGCCCGGTTGATTCTGAGGAGTTTCAAACCTTGTGCGAGGGCTTTTTTCAGCATGACGTGATGAATTACGTAGCTTAATTTATCCGTAAGGGTGAATGGGAATCCGGGAAAATGGCGGGAAATCAGTTTACGGCTGTTTACCGATGGATTCGCATGAAATTCGATATCCTGGTGGTTTTGGCTGGATAAAAAGGAATCTTTCATTAGATTGTTGAATTACTAAATAATCGATATCGAATTTCATGCGAATCCATCGGTTGACAGCCGTAAAACTGATTTCCCGCCATTTTCCCGCCGCCATTTTGAAATTTGTCGGAATTTCAGAAATCCGATGAAAGATTCGTTCTTCTTGTGTTGAAATACCTCCAGCTACCAAGTTTCATGCAAATCCAACGAAAGCAGCCTAAATATCCACTTCCCGCGCTAGGCCGCCATTTTGAAAAGGACCGACTTTTCTGGAAAACCAATGCCAGAATCGTTTTTCTCGTCTCAAAATACTCTAAGATTCCGAGTTTAACGCCAATCTGTCAAAAAATAACGGAGATGTCAGATTTCCGCCATTTTGAACTTTGACCGGCCGCCATTTTGTCAAAAATCATTATTTTGACCTGCGGTTTGCGCCAAAAATTTTCTTTTTTTATTATCTTTCGAATGAGGTATCACAAAGGGGGGGTTGCCATTTGAAAAAAAAAAGTTAGCCCCCCCCCCCCAAATTTTTAGGGGACCAAAAAGTTGCTACTTTAGACCGAAGAACATTGCCAAAGTTTCAAACTTCTATCTCAATTTGGAAAAAAGTTACAGGGGTGGTCAGTGACTTTTGGATAACCCTGTATGGTGGACATCTTTTCAACATGTTCGGGAGATTTCTCATGATTCTCTCCCTCCATATAAAAGTCATCACAAAGATCACATTGGATGAGCGTGGTGTGCTCCTTTTTAATATGCGTTTCATCGTTGATACCCTTTCTTAATTTGTTCCGCGCAGTCTTCGTGCTTTTCACCTTGTTTATAAAATTCATCATAAATATCACATTGGATGGAAGTTTCAACAATCTGTTGTGCTTGTTCTTGAGTACCCATGATAAAGATACTACTTTAAGCTATAAGTAGAAAGATCTTTGATGATCAGGGGAGTCAGTTGTATGGAATTACCACAATCGTCCGAAGAAGTGAATTGGAAAAATCTCACCAAGGTGAAGCAGTTGTGGTGAGTAAGCCCTTTGTTGATAAAATACATTCACTTCACAAGAAGAAACTCAGAAAGAACTTTGAACTAAACTTGATCGGTGACTAGCAAAACAAAAACCTGCAAGTCATTACAGAAGCGAGATTGTGGTTAGCTACTTAGCTCGAAAGGCGGAACGGTGGGGGTCTCTATGGGAATGGACCGGACCTGAGTTGGAATGTGTGCTACCATCTATCGGTAAGTGACGGTACTTGACAGACGGCGGGAGATTCAAAGTCTTCGCTCAGACTTGGGTACGCAGTATTCAAACACGAGTGAAAGCGAAATTCACACTATCTCTACACTTCTTAAATCACGGAGAGCGGTAGATCTCCCCGCCAAGCTAAAAATATAAATATAAGGAGAACAACTGAATTAAGTCTCCCAGAGTAAGACCGGAGAACGCCTTCAAACGACTCTGCAGCAACCACACTCACGCGGAGCGATAGCCCGATAACCGTCGGCAGACGGTATAATACACAGAAAATATGAGGAATTGCCGATTTTCGCTGCTTTTTAACTTTTGCCCCCCTGTAGCAAAAAAACTGCTCAAAGGATCATGCTGAAATTTGGCATGATGATTCTTCAAGATTCAAAGGCCATACCTTTTGGTGTCTGATCTTTCAAAACTTATTATTAACGGAGATATGACGTTTTAAAGATCATAAAACGCTACCGGACTTGCTCCGTTTTCTAGAACTCCTGGCCTGGATATAGCTGCCGATTCTCACTGTTAGCGCGCTTTTTTTTTATCAAACCAAAACAAAGACACTTGAATAAACTCTTTCAGTGTCAATAAAAGAACAATTTGGGAATTTATTCGGAATATAACTATCACGGAAAAGTGCGTCAAATTAAAGTTTAGCAGCTTCTTTCATAAGTTCCCGGGTCTAGAGTACCTATATTGAGAGAGTATGGCCACTGGAGTTACCACCTCTGATTGGCTCAGTCATCTTAGGCTGAATGGAGCCCTTAGGACCCAAAAATGGCGGACGCCCATAAAGTTAATGTAATGCAAAATGATTCAAAATGTAGTTGTCTTTGCTTATCGTAACGAGAACTTTACCCAAATGCACTATTGCGACTTTTTTACATATTTTTAAGGCTAATCGTGTGCAATTTTTGAGAAAAATGATCTCAGATGAAGTAAGGTTGGCAGCAAGTGCGGTTGGTGATAACCGTCAAAAGTTGGCAATGACCCCCCTCCCATCCTCAAAAAACCAAAACAAAGCACCGCCATTTTTGGGTCCTAAGCCTCTCCATGGGACCCAGTGGCCATACTCTCTTAGTATAGGTACTCTACCCGGGTCGTAAGTTATTTCTGACACTAGAGTCCGCATGCGCAATTACGGCACGGCGGGCATTCGTGGTTTTGTTATTGTTATCACAGGTGTTTAGTGTCAATTATTGTCAAAAATCGTGTGGATTGTAATCGTTTTAAAGTTATTAATTCTTTTTCTCTGTAGTTCATATGTTCTTATACAGGGTGTCTCACGAAAAACGAGCCACCTTGAATATCTGCCGAACGCGTCGGAATTTCGAAAAACGGTAAAAGACGTGTTCGTTTATATCGAGGGGGACACCTTTTGGCGTATTCGACATTTTCCCAAACCGCGGGAGGGGCAAGGGGCGGGGGGTGCCCCACCCGTAAGTCGAAATTTTCAAATGGCACCCCTAGTTTTTAATTTCAGAAATCATTTCTACGCAAAAAAACAAGCCACCCTGTCCAAACCGAATGTAATTCGGACAATTTTTCAGTGATTGACAGAGTTTGAAACATTTTTTTCATGCTCTTTTCAAAAATTTCCCACGCCCAATGGAATTGCTGTATCAAACCAAACTCTCCGCCAAAAAAATTCTTAAACATGGCACTTTCGATAAAAAAATAAAAAAAATCTGCTGCACTCGAAATCTGGAGCACGCGGAGCCCTTCTTTGCGACATTAAAATTCGTTATACCGAACATTTCCGAGGGGCGCTCATCGGGAGGGAGTAGTAAGTTTTAGACAAGAATTATTAATCTTTTTTCTGAAGCATAAGAAACCGTGTCCATGAAGAAGCAGTTAAGTAGAAAAACAAATGGATTAGCTTTTTTTTGGGGGGGGGGGGGTGGTCAATGACTTGAGCCGGACCTTGATACTTCTGAGGACGCTATTTTTCCGCGGTGCGTTGTTTTTCTACTTACCTGCTTCTTCATGGACACGGTTTCTTATGCTTCAGAAAAAAGATTAATAATTCTTGTCTAAAACATACTACACCCTCCCGATGAGCGCCCCTCGGAAACGTTCGGTATAACGAATTTTTATGTCGCAAAGAAGGGCTCCGCGTGCCCCAGATTTCGAGTGCAGCAGATTTTTTTTTTTCATCGAAAGTGCAATGTTTAAGAATTTTTTTGGCGGAGAGTTTGGTTTGATACAGCAATTCCATTGGGCGTGGGAAATTTTTGAAAAGAGCATGAAAAAAATGTTTCAAACTCTGTCAATCACTGAAATATTGTCCGATTTACATATTGGACAGGGTGGCTTGTTTTTTTGCGTAGAAATGATTTCTGAAATTAAAAACTAGGGGTGCCATTTGAAAATTTCGACTTACGGGTGGGGCACCCCCCGCCCCGCGCCCCTCCCGCGGTTTGGGAAAATGTCGAATACGCCAAAAGGTGTCCCCCTCGATATAAACGAACACGTCTTTTACCGTTTTTCGAAATTCCGACGCGTTCGGCAGATATTCAAGGTGGCTCGTTTTTCGTGAGACACCCTGTATGTGATTTAGTCCTAAATAATCATAGTTCAAGCACTTGAAGCTTCCACTGAACCCCCATTGTCTTTGAGGAAACAGCTGATACAGACTACAGACCCAAAGCCCCTTTATGCTGTTGCTATGCCTTGACCAAGCCTTTGTTTTCTTTTACTTATTTTCATCATCATCATGTACCTTTATTCCATCATGAATTCTGAGTGGAAATTTTCGGAAGTGCGTGGTTTACCTATTCTCCGGAAAAAGTTGATGGTGTTTCACATCCAAACATCCGCGTCTCAATCTCAACTAGGTACTAGCCATAAAACCCCATGCTTTATTATTTCATTCCTGCTATCTACATGGGATTTATAGCGAAGGAATATCTCTTTCTCTCAGGTAACTTATCAAACATCATAAACGATACCCTCACTTGATTGTGATTCGTCGAGTTGGCAGCTGGTTTTCACAAGCGCAAGTTCTATTGAGTCAATGTTTAGCACTCGACACTGTATTAAACTGATTTGTGACTATGACGATGATATGTTTCTTCATCTTCCAGATACTGAACACAGATTGGTTTCCTTGACTGTTTTGACTCTGATCCCGTGTACAGTTCACCACAAAGTGGCCTTCTTGTTTGCACC